GAGAGAGAGAGAGAGAGAGAGAGAGAGAGAGAGAGAGAGAGAGAGAGAGAGAGAGAGAGAGGGGGGGGGGGTGAGGGGGGGGGGGGGGGGGGGGGGGGGGGGGGCCGGCGGCGGGGTCGGGTAGTGGGAAGCGAGGGTCGAGCAGTCGAGCAAGACTTCGTCGTAAACCGAGAGAACGGAGGCCGACTGCCGCGACCGAGAGCGGAAGCTGCGTGCCCTAGCGGCGGCTGGGGTTGAGAAGGGAGCCGCGGAGGGAGGGATGGATGATCTCGGGGGATGGGCGCCTCTCGCTTCTCTTCTTTTTCTCTTTCTTCCTTCTCTTCTCTCGCTTTTGTGATCCGCTGCTCGAGTTCGCCGGGCGTTTGCGCGCGACGTCCGTTTGCTCTGGCGATATGCGACCTTATCTTCTCCGTCGCACACGCGCTATTTACTTCGACGATTTTACGAGCTTTCGATACGATCTTAATGATAAAACAAATACGCCTTATCACGAATTATTCAGATTGTAGCTGGTTGAGGTAGCAGCTTAGGAGGCTCTTCCTCTCTTACATTCGACATTAGCCCCTGAGCCCCTTCGACCCTATCGTTTGCGTATTTCCTTAGCACTGTAGATCGACCAGGACTTGATCTTAAGATTTTATATCAAGGACATATGAATTATAAAAAATGAACATCAATTGCTCTCGTTTACGCTCTCTTCCATGTTTTGTCTTTTGATGTTACAACCTGAAAATGCACAGAGAACTTTTATTCGCTTTACGAAATTAAAAAATGCAACTACCAATAGCTGATAGACGGCCAGATGGATCGATAAATTATTAATTAATTAATTAACGGAAATATAAGGGAAATTTGGACGTGAAGGGCTACGTTATTTATTGGCATAAAGATTATGGGAATCGAGCGTTTTGAAAATGGTAGTTCATAGCATGACGCAAATTGTCGATTAAAGCTCGATATTTTTCAAATCATTTTGCATAAATGTTTGAATAGATTTTATTTGTTTATCGATTACATTATTACAATAGAATATTAGTTAATGTTATTTTCATGAAACATCTAATAAGATTGTCAAATTTAAGCTAGACGTAACATATGACAGTACTATCATCGCGATTACTGGCATATTAAATCTTTCCACTTTCATATACATACAATTAATTTCCATTATGATTACTACTTAAGATAAAATTTTGTTTTACTTCTAATTATTTTACCTTAAATTATAATTGTTAGAGAGCAATAAATACTTCGTCGATCCTTATTCTATTCTATTTCACGCGCTATGCTATTTTTATCACCCTAACTAGAAAAATCTCTCACTTTGTATGAGAAATTTAAAATCCTTATGTCTGTTATTTTATTTCAAATAAAAATAGTCACTCTTCTATCTTCTTTTAAAAACGAATAATGTGACAATAGAATTACTCTGACTAAAAGTAAATTTACAATTATGTAAAAGAGTGTGTGCGATAAACTAAATATGTAAAATATCTGTCAAAATCTTGTCTAAATGTCATATTTGTTTTGTTCCATTCTCTAAAATTAACTTTCTCCAAAATAATGTCAAAAAAAAAAAAGCCAAAATATTGTTTCAAGCTCGTCGTCATCTAATCTTTAGTCTCTAATCTTTCTAACATTAATAATCAAAAATTGATGAAACGAAAAAAAAATCAAAATTAATAAAATTAACAAGAAATTTAGGTATAGAAGATGCGAGACGAAACAATTTGACAAAAAGACCTTTATTAAAGCCAATATGCAGTTCTTACGTAGAGCCGCTATTAAAATATTTCTGGGCCTTTGCTTTTCGTCTTACTTTTCTTCGTAGACGTGGATGATGGGAAAGTGTCACCGAATTATCCAAGTCCCATCGTAAAGCGAGATAAAAACTACTTGAAATCGAAACTCCGATTACGAAAATGCTGTTATTAAAGTTTCGTATTTTGGCCTCTAATTATTTGTTGAAGGATAATAATACTTATAATTTTGTATTCTCCCATTCGTCTACTCCTCCCCCCCCTCCCCGCCCCTTCCCATCGCACACCATCCCTACCTCAATTTATCCAATAATTACTAGAAATTTTTCAAACAAAATCTGATTACACACATAAAAATTATGTCTTATGTTACGAATAATATTCGATTATGTAATACATCAGCGTATCAGCAGCAGCCATAATTTATGTGGCCGAGCTTACATTCACTACATGATCTATAATCATGTCGTCCTGCAAAAATATCGCAATGAAATATAACTTAACATTTCACAAACCGTCACAAAGTTTCAAAAAAAAAAAAAAAAAAAAGGTATTGCATCTATAATGTCGCTTATCGATACCAGTAAGTAATTATTTAGTATTATGAAGCAATAAGACACCAGAACAAAATGCAGAAAGGGACATTTCGCAAAACACAAACAATTGTTGCTCAGAAAGAATTGCTTGCATTTATTTGCCATATAACTTTGAAATTCTGTTCTAATAAATGTATCGCCGACTCGATAGTAGAACATTAGTGATTGACAGGTCATCGTATGAAATATGGATTGTGTAATGAAGCTTTTCTCAAACATCGACAATAATTTTGTCACCTTGAAGAAAGTGGATTGCGATATCAAACGTAACTCGAGTGGCTACGCTAATAGCTTCGTTAGTCTGGGATATTTTTTCTTGGCGAATCTTTGCGAGGCTTCTCTTCCTTCGGCTTCACCTCGACCATTGATTCGTTCCCTTTATCCTTAAGACTTCACCGCGAAGTGGAGCTTTAGGATAACTTCAATGATAACATATCTGATTAGTTATATTTATAAGTTGGCCCTCGGTTACCATTCCACTTGCCATTCTTACAGCCACCGATCGCACAATAATATGACCTTGGCACTAGACAATCCAATCGCGAGCAGCTCCACGGAAACGAGACCGGTTGAAAGAATAATAATAATCTTCATCATTTTTTCCATCTCTATGGGCGTTCGGTGAACATTTTGATGCCGCGATAACTACGTTAAATATAATCACACTAGATATTTATGTTCCAGCGGCCAATGTACGGCAATGAATGCATCATACCATAAACAGAGTATAGCGAAAGTTTTCCTCAAATGAAAAGGATTAATCCGGAAATGGAACGAGTGCGTAAGGACAGCAGGACTAACGTAGCAACTCGCGTGTATTACACATTCTTAAGGAATTTATGGCAACGCTCAATATATGCTCACACAGTTAACAATGGAGGAGCAATAAATACTTAATAATTATAAATGTTATTTTTTCGTGCTTCATCCCCTTATATCTGCTTTCACAAGCATTGTCTCTCAAATTTATTACTTATTTCTTGTAAAATTCTCGAATTTGGTTTACATAAGGCTAATTGTAGATATTAATGTTACAGATAAATTTATACTTTATTATCAATATTTAATATCCATAAATTGGCGACAATGATGTCTCATACTTTGCTTGATAAAACTTTACTTTACAAAATATTACTTTCATCAAAACCAACGATCGCAAAAGACTTTTTACTTTTATATTAATTACTCTTGTACCAAAAATATTAGATGATCTATATTGGTTAAAATAATTTAAAAATAAAAGCCTACGGTTAAAAATAACATAAATTACATATAAAAGTATAAATTTCTTATTTAACTTCGCTTGATTTAATCGTATTTCTACTTTCATGATAGTGTGCGTATTTTATATTATCGAAAGTTTAATGTTTCTAAAAAATATTAGCTGTATAATATTAGTGTTTTGTAACATATTCTTTTTAAAAAAAAAAAGTTGTAATCATTAATGTTTATTACTTGTTTTCAATTAAACTAGGTTTAAAAATATTTCTAATAGATTTGCATGCCCACTGAAAATATAAAAAAATAAAAACTTAACATTTTATATGTATTATACACAAAGTAATTTATTATTTTTTTCTTTCATTCTTTAATACGGTTTTTAATGCAAACACTTATATAAATATTGGCAGGTAACGAATTTAATTGACATTTAACAGATGTAGTAATTATCTTCTACAATATTACTTATCTATATTATATTAACCGTTAACAATAGATTTCTTTAAAAATCAATATCATTATCTATCCAGCAAGTACTTACGTAATGTTTTTTTTTTTTTTTTTTTTATGTTTATTTTCAACAGAGATATTTAATTACCATTATACGATCTATTTACAAACTAGAATTGTTACATTTGAAAATGTAGGAGTTTTTGTTTACTGTTTATATTGAAAAAGTAATAATAGATTTGTATTTAATATAGGACTATTCGTAAAGCAATTGTTTATAAAGCCTCACTTATTATTATATTAATAAAGATTTTTAAATGTAAAGCATGCCTTAACTATTCGTTTAAACGCAAAAATATTAATAAATATTTAAAGAATTGAACGATTCATTTTATTTCATTATCAGTCAGTAAAAAATAAAATGTATATTTTTTAATATTTTATTTCATTATCAGCAAAAAAAACGTCTATTTTTTAAATATTTTATTTCACTATCAGTAAAATAAAAAGTGTATATTTTTTAATTTATGAATATACTGTTTATCTTTATTGTGCCAAATGAAATATTTTAATTGAAAATCATTTTATTACCATGTGAAAACTATGACAATATATCGTTTCAAATAATTACCAGTTTCTCTTCTCGCATCGTAGTAAAAATTATCAACTATATTACTTTCATTATGTATTACGCAGCTTTATATTTTCTCGTTGAAACTTTGATACTTTGTAAGTAATAAAGTAATTATTAAACATATTATTAAAGCAACATTATTAAAGCAACAGAGAAGACAAAATAAGAAACAGACTGTTTATTAACATTATAATTGCATCGAAGAATCGTTACTTTTATCACTTAGATAACCAATGTTGTATGGTCAGTGGACTATTGGGTATAAACGTTAGGAACGTAGAACCAAATGAATTTTCGTCTACTGTGTCTATCGTGACGTTTAATCAAATTGAGCCACAGGAACAACGACATACATATTGCACCGGAAGTCTTATTTCGCAAAGACATGTCTTATCTGCCGAACATTGTTTCGATGAAATAGGGAACACCAAATTTGAAATACTCGCCGAATCGTACAATTTAACATGTGCCAAACGATTTTATCCTTCTTGGTGGACAACATTCGATCAATGGAAATTTTCAACAAAGAAGCCTAATTATTTCAGAGATAACGACATTTCTATAATCAAGGTAAATTATTATTAAAAGATAAGATGATTTTCAAAAGAAACTTATGATTTCGCGCAAATTTTTTATCTGATATTTATCTGATAGATCCGAAACAAAAACAAAACAATAAACGAGAAAAGAGGAGTTTGAAATAGTTCAATTGGCTAATTATAAGAACAAATTATTTCTTAACTAAAATTATATTATTTACAATAGAATGCTTTGTCAACAATTTTCATTGCAGATAGTAGGCAGTGTCTCTCCTGACACCCAACCAGCACTCATTTCATTAATTTCTCCGCAATCGCTGCTGTACGGGCTGCAGGCCCTAATGGTTGGTTTCGGTTCAACCCATGAGAACGCAAATCCAACGATATTGCATAAAGGAGCCGTGAATATCATATCGAAGGAAGAGTGCCAAGGCAAGATTGCTCGATTAGCGGGCGATATAATGACGGTTCATTTAAGATATCTCTGCTCTTTCTCTGAACCATACACGCAAATCGCGAACGTTAGTATAAATATTTTAAAATACGTTCTTTGCATTTCACAATAACCTATATTTACGCTTTTTATAAAATAATTGAAAATTTTGCTTGGTAAGTTGGCAGTAGGCTGGATATTTAGCAGATTTTCGATTGTTGGTTAAAAAAAGAGAAAAGTATTTTCCTCAATTTCATCGGCACATTTACTTGCAAACGCATTTATACATTATACTATTTACTGACAAATACATTAAATAACATATATCAATAATATTCTATTTAAAGGTATATGTAATTGCAATGATATTGTAATTGCATTGATTAAGAAAAATATTTTATTAGTTTGTAAGTTTTCCGTTGCTTATCGTTCAATTATTTCATTTACAATTTTAATTTGATGAATTTGTCAAGTTTGTCATGCTCTAATATCTATTTTTAAAAATTATTGCGTAATGTCCTTAGTTGTTATAGAAATCCATTTAAAATATAACTATAACTTTTTCTTAAAAATATTTGTTTTACCTTAAGTTTACCTACCTTGTGCAATCTTGCGTAGTTAGTATCATTGATTATTAATTTTATGAATATATTTTCAATATTTTTACTTACATTTAGATGAGAATTTAAATAAATTTACTTTTCAGGGTGACAGTGGTGGGCCACTTTTTTATGAAGGAGTTATCGTAGGTATTAACAAGGGATTGGTTCCAAAGTTTAGAAACTTATTTCATAGACATAAAGTTAATGTTCATACAGGCGTAGATTATTATCGGGAATTCATTGATTTTCAAATGGGCATATTATATTAAAGAATACTTATTCGCCCTTCAACATAACGACTAATTAAAATTATTATCCATTTAAATATATCAGGCAATGATATCTCTATATTAATGTCAAATTACATTGTCATCTCAATTCACGATGAACATTTATAATAATTAATAGTAACGCGACAATTTCTCAACAAAATATTCAACAAAATATCGAAAAATAGTATTATCTAGTCTGAATTACTAAAAATTATGTAAATTTGAAAATAATAATTTAAAAATAAAAATTTTAAGTATTTATGGACTCGCACTTCACCGTACACGATCCTTTAACTTTAATGAATTTCCACCTCCGTAGCAGTTCAAAGTACCTGTAGCGAATAATAATTTGTCTATTGGATTATTCAAAGCGATCCATGCTTATAAGGATGTGAATAAGGGTCTCCGTTCACGTCTTGTCTATAATTAGCCGGAAATATTGAATGAAATTACAATTCAACCTCCTTAGTCTACGGCTACCGATGTATGGCAAATGGTATTATCAAGTTAGAATGTACCATAGTAGATAATTAGAATATGTCCCTGGAAGTAGGAGACTAAAAGTAATCAAAGGTATTACTAAAACTGAGATGAATAATATAAAAACCGGATGAAATCAAAATACAATATCAAAATTAATATAACATAACGGAAGAGAAGTCGACAATTGCCGAATCATTATTAATAGGAATGTCAGATATCCATTCTATAGAGCAATGACAAATACAATCGAATCCTAATCGAATCAAAATCTATCTATATATAAATAAACACTGCATCTACTATTTAAATTATTCGAGCTTCCATGATTGATTAAATCATGTAAATAAAAATTTATAAAGCACTTTTTGTGCCTTTTAATATCTAAGACGAATAGAATGATACGATAATGTGTGTGTGGGTGTGTGTGTGTGTGTGTGTTTTTTAAACATAAGAACAAAGAGAGAGAGAGACAGAGAGAGAGAGAGAGATAGAGAGAGAAAGAGAGAACCTAAAAGAAAAGCCACATAGAAGGTACAAATTTCGATGGAAAATATTAAAATTTCATACTGCTATTATTTTTAATTACTCTTTGATACACTTCAATCGATTAGCCATCGAAGCCATCGAACTAGAAGTGTCTCGTATTAAAAGCGTCGTACTTTGGTAACAGTAGCCATACTAAAGCGACCGTGTAATAAAAACAGACAATACTTTGGTAAACAGTCGAACGTTATTTAAATGTGTGATCGGAGCTGGGAAACAATGTATTTGGATGAATTTGTATGAGATGTGATAAACACTAAAGTTAACCATATAAATATAAAAACTTATTGATCGTATTTTCAAAAGCTGTACAGGCCATTAAAAATATGGTTTTAAATTTGCTATTAAAATGGAAAATCGGTCATTGATTTTCACATAGAAACAAGAAAATTTCTTTCTTATTGACAAGAAAAGCTCAATTAATTAAAATTATCAACTAATACAAATTCATTGTGTATTATTTTGATTTTGAAATTTTTTAAAAATTCAATCATTCGATAATTAAGATATTATTTTATTCGGTGTCAAATTTTGTAAATTTTTCAAAATTAAATAGTTTTCAATGTTGTTTTGTAACGTAAAACATACATTTTTTCTAGTATCCAATCAACGAGATCAAAAGAGTTTTGTTTAATTTTTTTTTTTTTTTTTTTTTTTTTTTTTTTTTCATTATATATATATTATTCTTCCTACGTTGATTGTTACTCTAAAATTTCATTTCATGTTTTTAAGTAAATAAATATCAATATCAAATAAAATAATTCTATTATGTTATTGTGGAAAATTTATGAAATAATGTAAAATGATCATCGAATGAATAATGTTTATTGCTCATCAACAAAACTAATATTTATAAATAAATGAAAATAAATAAAAAATGTCGCAAACGACAATAATCATTGTTTAACTGATGCAAGAAAAAACAGATATAAATATAAATATTCGATTAAAAATGTACTGATGCTTATTTTTAGTAATAATGCAATAAATGAACTTAACTATTTTAATTATTTCTGCGGTGATATATTCGAATATTTCAAATACATCGCTGTACATTGTACCATCTCGTTTTAATAAAATAAAATTGCATAACAAATTCCTTCGTTTTACGTAACTTTCCAAAATAATTACGCGATAAAGAACTTTCATCATATATAAAAAAAAAAAAAAAAAAAAAAAAAAAAAAAAAAAAAAAAAAAAAAACAATTCTTTACCATTTTAAGCATTGATTTGATGCCAATATTAATAATTAAGGTAATATCAACATATTGTAAAGTCAAAATAACGTCTTGTAATGTGCAATTCGTTAATTATTTTACTAATCGTATTTAGTGATTTGGGCAATCTATGCTACGAGCGCTTCAATATCTTCACAAACAAGTTACTTTACATGGTGAATTTTACTGACTCACACTAAATTGAATCTATAATCTGTATATTATATTTCAAAATTGATCTAGCCATTTATCTCCTACATTACATTTCTTCACATGTTAAACATAGCGTGCATAATTAATAAACTTTAATGTACTATTTATACGCTCAATCTACTCAATTATCGGATACAAAAGCCGAATACGATTAAATGAAAAAAAAATAAGATAATGTTATTTTACACAGATTCCATATTTTCCAATATATTCCAATTAATTACGTAAAGCAAGTTTCTTGATATATAATTTATATTTTACACTTCCTTTACACCGGATATAAGCACTAGTTGCATTTATAACTTCCATTAAACTGCTTAACTCCTTACATGGATGCTCTAGGAACGGAATTAACACAAGCGCATACAGCATCGGTTACAGATGGGTGGAAAAACTTTTTTCTTTATATTGTATGGCATATATTGATTTAAAGATTTACATAGTAACAGTATATTAATACTAATACTAATTAAAAATTGAAAAATATGTAAATTAATCACTATTATAGATATAATGCAGCATTATATACATTGAATTAAAAATGAAAATTTTCGTGGCATTTTACAAATGTTTTGAATTTAAATAAATTATTGACTATTTGTTTAAAAGAAATATATTTTCAACGATAATAGTGTAACGTTTATCGTTATGATATGTTTATTGTATTTCAGAAGTAAAGGTATGACCGAAAGGTAATTAATTATATAACTAAGACTACATTCGTAAAAGTTGCGCAAAATTAATTTAATCTAATTTAATTTAATCGATTTTTATTTATAAAGTATCCTTCTAAAGAATTTGTATTTCATTTGATCTCATTAATGAGATTTCAGTTGGAGAAAATTACAGATATATAAACTTTATTATTGCGTACGTTAAAAACTTATATGTAAAAAATAGAAAAATAATACTATTATAATTATTATAAATATAAATCCTATTACTCAACAATATATTAATTAACAGTAAGAACTAAACTTTTTACATAAGTTAAAACTTCCGAAATCCTCGCCAAGCAAATAAACCTCTACTAACTTCTATATTTCTACATTAACAGAAAATCTCTGTATGAGATCTCTTTTCAATGGCCACGCGAGTGTCATAAAAAAAAAATAGAAGCATTTTTCTTAATAATGCAATGAACTTATAAACCTTAATAATTCAACGAGAAGTAATTACAAGCTTGTACTATATGTGTAATTGAAAATATTTAGATCAGTAGAGTTGATGCAATTTATCGAGATGCACAGATGACTTGTAATCGTACTAATCTCGGCCAAGATCTCATAAACATAAAATCGGCTAACGCCTCGTTTAAATCAGCGAGAATATCTTGTCATTGTTCGCGCGACTGGTTAAGCAATAAAATAATTATTTGAAGATTTTTTTTAGATTTGTAGATAAATAATTATTTGAAGAAGTTTTCCACTTAATGGCAATATGACTATAATATAATATTTCTTATGCTCGTATCATTTGTAAAAAGTGGAATTAATTAAAGATCCGTGCTTTTTTTTTTCTTTATCATACACTTCATATTAAGCAATCATTAAGCATAATTACTCTTATGTAACATTACTTAAGGGAGCTTCCACTTTGCAAGCACGAGGGAATATTAACACGCTTCAAAATATTAAAGATAATCTTATTCAAGCACGCACGTAAATTATCGGCACTCATGTATTACTACTCCATTGTGTAAGTAGTAATCAAACTTCTAGACTAGAAGATTTTAATTCATGCGCCATTACATATACAAATTTGTATTCTTCGATTCTTCCATTTGCATATTCAACGTTTGCTAAACTTACTATCAATGATTTGCAGAATATGTTTAAGATTTAAATTTTAATAAATTTGGTATGTAAGAAGTTGATTTATGAAATAGATATATGCTTTTACGATAAGTTCAAATAATTTTCATACTACAATCATGAATCATTAGACTGTAATAGTTTATAAAATAATTTATAATTCATTGGCATAAGCGAAATGTAAAATTCAATTATGGAGTCGATTAAGTGCTTATGTAACATTTAATAATAAGCAAAATAAATATAATATTTATTCGATATTCGATCAAGATGTTGACTCCAAAATCATTTTATATACAAAATTTCCCATACAAATTATAAAAATACAAGAAGGATTTTAATTGATGTTAATTAAATTAGATCTTAAATATAGATAGAAAAGACTTTATACAATAATTTGAAATATAGAATTTCTAAATAATATAAAAATACTATTAAAGATAGTTTATCTGGAATTATTAAGTACTAAATTGCAATACGCTTTTTTATTATTTTAATTGACGTTTGAAAATATATTCATTATGGTTGAACTAAAACAAACGAATGTTAAAAAAAAAAAGAAGAAAAAAAGTAAAATTTCTACAAATTTAAACGGGTAATTTTAATTACACATTTCCATGAAATTGCAGGAAAAAAATATTAAAGAGTATACTTTTGGCTGTTGTGTGTACTAACTCTGGTAAAATCGTATTATTATACTTTGAATCATGTTTTTAAATAAACAATCTTGACCCTATCGATTCTCGTAATTCCTTTTTTCTTTTCTCTTTTTTTTCTCTCTTTTTTTTTGTGCTTTTTTTTTGTTTTTTTTTTTGTTTTTAATTAAATTTGAAAGAGAACAGAAAAATAGGCGCCGAAGGAGAATAAATTTGGATATAAAGTTTCATGTATTTACATTATTCTAAAGCTTCTAGCAAATAATTTGAAAATTTTCAGAAAATAACAATAGGCTATAATCGAATTATGTGTTTGACAAACTGTTTTATTGGAATATCGAGCACTGGATTTTTATATAAACGACAAAATATTAAATTAAAACTGTAATAAATTTTAAAAAAGCTTTTAGATTGAAAAATTGCAATCACTACGGTCTTTAAATTAATATATTCTAATTAGAAATGTAATTTTTTTTTTTTTGTTTTTTTTTTGTTTTGTTTTTTCATAACTAATTATTAAAGAATACTATTATTTCTAAGAGTTATGTCTATGTCCGAAGGATATAAATATCGTTTTAACTTATACGGCTTTCGTGCTATTATTGGATCTATATATAATCCATCTGTATTATAATATTATGTTGAGGCTGGCGCGAAAAGGCTGCAAATGATATGGCAAAAAATGTTCCCTTCTGAAGAGCTGCTGCTTTAAAAAAATAAAAAAATTAAAAAAATTTTTTTAAAAGGGGAGGGGGGGGAGGTCTCTAGATTTTTACTAACGTATATATATATATACAATTTTATTTTAAAAAAATTTGAAATTTGAATCTTATAAGATTTCATCTTAATTGCTGAACTTACTATGATGCTCTTACATTGAATCAAGAAAATTGTGTAAATTGTTATTTCATTGTTATTAAATATTGCAACTGCAATATGCGTAATTCTTAGTTGAAATGATAATTGAATTACAGTAAAATAAGGTGTCCTTGCACCGCTTTATATATATATATATATATATATTTTTTTTTTAACTAATCGAATAAAGTTAAAGTCAACCCAGAAAATTATTTATACATAAAATGTAAGTGATATAAGAGAAAATACTTATTAAGTATTGAAATAACTTAATGAAATAACATTCCAATATTTTCTTCGCATTCCATAATAGCTGCCGTAATTCAATGCATTTTAAGATTTATTAATTATTATTAATCATTAATTTAGTGCAATAGAAAATAAACCTATCTTATCGACGATATTATTACGCCATAGGAAAAAGGTATACGACATTCCAAAAGGAAATCTACCGGAAAATCATGAAAAAATTACATAAATCAATTAATTTGTTCAATTAATTATAATGCACAGTGCTAAAGTGTCGATTGATTATCGAAGACAATGATACGATAACTGCGAGTAATTTTGAAAAGTGACTTTACTTTGGCGAATCTCTTGTCTCGCTAGTATCTGCTGCTCATTTATATCTCGTAGAGTGACGTCAACTTGGGCAGATGAAAAAGAATTTTCGGCAAGTGAAGTCTTGACTCGGTGTGTTTCATTGGCTGAAAGCACAAGCGAGAGCCATGGTATCTCCGACATCTCTAGACTCTTTCATTATTTTGCAAACCGAAATGATTGATGCTCCACGGCTTTGAAAAATGCATTGGATCCAAAAGTTTCTTTGATTTTTCATGAAATTTCTAGGGTCGAAATTCCTTCTGTATTGTAGGAACAACGTATATGCGCGGCTCAATTTAAACGGACTCGTTTACTTACGAAGCGCTAAATTGTGATTTCTGTATTTAAAATTGAGCCACATTTTATTTTGAGAAGAGTGATGATAATTTTCTTTTCGATATACATCGGCGCAACGTACATCCCCTTGTTAAGACTCACTCATTGTAAAACAAACGAATATAAAGCTAACACGATATGATGTTTTGTCGTTGAAAATTTATGAACAATACATTTATATTAACATGGCTTCTTGTAAGCAAAATAGATAATTGTAAATTTGGCGCTCGTTTGAAGTTAATTCTACTATTTAATAATTAATAATGTTTAAATTGGTAAAGTAAACTGGCTAGGCATATGTATTTAACCAACAAAGTTACAGCGAAAAATTCACTAGCTAAAAGATATTGGAATCGAGGAGCACAAGAGGGAGCCGTGAAAAATGCACAAATTTTCAAGTGTCCCGGGAACCGAATATATCCGAACATTTAATGGCTCACTAAGCGTAACGGTGCAGATCATCGGTTAAGTCGGTTGAGCCATAAAACTTCTGGCGCACATATTTTGTCGAAACTGAGCTCCACGAACGCTCGTTAAAACTTTTGATGGTGTTGCTATCTCCTTCATTTTACAATGAAACAAAAATCTTTGGCATATTTTTGCGAACGGCTAAATCGGTTAAAGCGAAGGAAAACTTTTAATCTTATTGCCGAGAACGAAAATTCCAATCCTAAATAACTTTTAACACCCGGTGATTTAAATTCGAGGCATCGCTCTTATAACTATCGATTTTACATATCTTTGTTTCTCATCAGATACGACAATTTTCAAAGAATTTTGTTGTAAAATTTACAAATTAAATACAACTTACAAGCAACATTGAATCGAACGTCTAGCCAACGAAAATCTCTCTCTATTTATTAATTAAAATGACGTAATATTATTATTATTTCAATGCGACAATTACATAGTATTGTTGTGTAAAATATAAATTATAATATTAAAGTAATTAGATTTGCCGAGTGGAGAAAAGGACGCTAAGAGAAAAGTAGGAAATCTCGTATTTATTAATGATCGATAATAACGATTCCAACTATAATAAATTACATTTATTCCATTGATTTTATTTCATTCGATTTCATTGATTTCATTTCGAATTCAAGTAAAATTTCGTTGATCAAATTTATTAAATTTATGTAAATAATATTATTGTGTCCAGTAGATTTTCTATTAATGCTATAATTTTAGATTTTTAGAATTTTAGTTTTCTTTTTTTTCACAAACTTCATTTCAACTGTGTAAATGAACGAAATAGTGACTTAAAATTAAAATTATTATTTAGAAATTATGTAACTACGACTTTTTAGCTTGCGCATACAGTCTAAATGGACTATATTTTAAATTATGCATTAGAAAGTTTGAAAGTAATTAAAATTAAATAAAAAAACCTTGGAGCAAATATTTCTACCGGAAAGTAAGAAGAAGAAAAAAATGAAACATTGAAAATTAACATTTCAAGATTAAAGTAGTCTAATTCTCTAAAATAATTAATAATTCCCTTTTATTATTAATTAATGCTATATATAACTAATAATAATAACGATATACAATATATAATACATCTCGTAATATATCCATTATTAACCTTATCGTTTATAATAAAACGGTAATTTACGATTAATAACGGGCGCGAGTGTGTGAGATTATCGTCATTGATAAATAAATCGTATTAATTTTCAATTTTACGCCAGTAATTAGTTAAAGTTAAGTAATAATAGTAAATCTAGGGGAGTCCGTTTGAACCGCACCTTTAAACACACACAAATGGGACCATC